ATGCAATGCCTAGGGTCCGAATATGTAGGTACCAATGTGGGCAATAGGCTGTTCTGCAGGTTTTCGGGTGACGTGCCCTTTTTTCTCCCAAACTCCCAGCCTGTTGTTGAAAAAAGGCTTCTTCATGCTGCCATGAAACCTGTGTGCCCACGTCATGCCGCCCTAAGCCCTCCACCCAGTTATAAGTTTTAATTGGTTCATAAGTATCATGAACCTCCCTAAACCCTAAACCCTAAACCCTGAACCCTGAACCCTGAACCCTGAACCCCCAAGCACCCCAACAATGGCCTCGAAGCGTCCCTGCCAGCCGTGCGGCGGCGCCCAGGCCGCGCAGCATGGCGAGGCGACACGCGGTGTCAGCGCCACAGGCGCCTGACGGTTGAGGTTTCGGCAGTACCAGGATGGGCTATGAGGCCCTTTAAAGGGATTATAGGGTATATATAGCCCATCCTGGTACAGGCTAAATAAGGTATAGGGCTTGGAGGGTTCAGGGTGGAAGGTTTGAGGTCTATAAGCCTGGTATGTTGGGCTAGGGTTGAGGCTTGGGAGGTTGAAGGTTTTTGCCAGGGTCCACAAGACGAAGGGGTTGACAGGGTTTAGGAAGGTGAGGGCCTTGCAGTCATTTGGACATCGTGCTCGTTCAGTTCGTTCCTTCTTCCCTTGCAGATTCGAACTCTAGCTCAGGAGGCTGCTGAGGGACTCGGTTGGGTGTCTTCCTGTTCCGAGCTCCCCCCAAAAAATCGAAAAATCCCCAATCCAGCCCAGCCTCCCAGAGGCCAGGGAGCCTCCGCTTGCTCCTCAAGGCCCTCCTGGAAGCCCAAAGCTCGTTGTGATTATACCGCTTGGAGGGGCTGGACAGAGCTTGTCCAATGGCGGCACGAAAAAATCATAGGGCTGCTTACGAGGAGGAGTGCTGGGATTTGAGATGCTTTGAGTGCCAGGCTGCGGGCTTTGGGTAGGCGGTCGTGACTGACGTGGCATCGACTCTCACACTCACAAAAGACTTGCATGACGGGGAGAATTTCTGTCGTCACCTTGGCTTCTGGCCCGCGCACGCTGTCCCTCAAAATCCTACGAACGCTCAAACCGTTTCTCAAACCAGCTGCCAGCCGACACGCTCCGTTCGTATGCAGGCGCTGGAGACTTCAAGCAACCGCCCTTGCCCAACTCCCTCGACGTGAAGCTGCCTGAGGTACAGCCGTGGATGCCGCAGTGCGAAGCAGACGCCTCTGCACCATCAAGGAGAAACAGAACATCGGTAGTTCTCTAAATTACTGTCCGTTTTTTGGGCTCCTAGATAGCGCGGCTCCTTTCAAACAAGGATCCAAAAACGACCCTGTTTTGGAGAACTGCCCACATCTCTCACCCTGTACCCCATGACTACCCGGACAAGGCCCCAGCTGTTTAAGGATCACGCAGGGCTTGCCGGAACAAAGCATGGTTCCATTCCGTGCAGCGTAGTTTCATGATACGGGGGTCATTGCATGCCGATGCCGCCGATGCTTCGCTGTGCAGCTGTGAACCCCAGCGAAGTCTTGATACCTAGACTTGCGACACATCATGTGATGCCAAAACTGCAGACTCCTTGAACCGAATGCCCCCTTCCCGAGCTCCAAGAAATCGTCAGCCATAACCCGGCCCTCAACAAGTGGCCTCGCAGCTGTGCTCGCAGCCCTGGGATGGGGTACTCTGATGCCGATGCCCACGTGCCAGAGGGAATGGAGAAGGTGAGGCAGCCCCAAATCCTACACGCTGTCAGCCCACAATCCCAAGCCTCCGTGAAGGTGTAGGGACTTAGAACGGAGTCAAAAACCAGACTCGATGCATGTGGCAAACAGGCCCTGGCCCCCACCTACTTCATGTGCACAAGCCGGTCTGCACGACTACGTTCCAATTACGGTTGTTCTGCTGAGTTCATAAGCCCCAAAAAAGTGAACACTTTCAGTTTTATAGGGGATTATAGTATCCCAAAAAGTGTATAAAGTGTACTCACTCAGCTACTAAGCGCCTCGCTTCTCCATCTGCGAAAGACATCTCATTCTCCCGTTCTTGTGCAGCAAGGCGGCGGATTTGAGCCGGCCGCAACGACGAGGTCCTCTTTGCCGGCTGTAGACAGTAGAACTTGACAGGGTTTAGGGTGTATAGGGTTTAGGGTTTCGGGTTTAGGGCCTTTAGGGTCTAGGGTTTAGGGAGTTTCTGCCTTCTTTGGGGGTTGGGAGCCTGCAGCCGTTGTAGCTGGTTGTGGGGGGAGAATATCAACTGTAAAATCGCACCCATGTAGCTTCGGCAAGTCTGCAGGAAGATCGACAAAAATCACAGCAAAGCCTCTTCGAAAGCTCAAAGCTGTGAAAACCTAGGCTCGGAAACCAAGATCTCCCACTGCCCTGCCCACCAGCTCAACCGCCCTAAACCCTCCGAGCTGCACCCTGCAAACACCCTAAACACCCAAAAACCTGGCCCCTCCACCCCGCCAACCCCCCCCCACCCTAAACCCTAAACCCCAAACCCTACCACCACCCCCAAAAAAAAAAGCCCCGCGCCAGGACGTCCGCCAACGCGGCGAAGCAGAGATGGCCAGAGGCCTCATGCTGGTCAAACAAGTAGGGAGGCTTCTGGGGCCATGGTACCCTAAACCCTTTTTTTCAACGCAGACTCTGAACCCTAAACCCTAAACCCGGCCATGTTGTTTTTAAAATCTCGTTTGGGGTTTCGACTCTCACCGGCTGGCAAACAGCCAATGAGTCTCTAGCCCAGGTCTTCAGAAACGGAGGCGTCACACAGATTCGCAGGAGGATTCATCCTAACAAAAACTATTGTCCACAAGGGCGAGGTGTTTGAGACTGGAAGCTTCATGAGTGGAGAGAACTAGGCTTTTATGTGCCATCATGGTTACTTTTTAGGAATACCTTCCATGGAGACAAGCGTGCTGGCTTCAAGTGAGAGGGCCATGCGACACAATTATGATGGGGCAAGTTCAGACGTTCCAGGAACATTTACTATGAGGGGCCCCAAATCTCATAATTCAGATCATCGCTCCAAACGAGGGAGCGGGGGTTGCAATAAAAAGAAGCCAACAGACAGGACCCCAAACCCTAAACCCTAAACCTTGCTTCCCTGTCCCTCAGCCAAAAATGGGGGTTTACCGAAAATGAGGGACCCCTAATATAAACCCCAAATAGCAAAATTCCCTTATAATAAGGGCCCCCAATAAGGTACCCTTCCCGTATAGTAGGACTCACTTAAAAATAAGGACCCCAAAAAAGGTCCCCCTCCCCTCTAGTGGGATTCCCTTGTAACAAGGACCAATAAGGCACCCTATAGTAGGATTCCCTTATCATGAGGACCCCCAATAAGGTACCCCTACTTTCGGAAACCCCTCCAAAAGTCCGCATCCCAAACTTCGACCAGAGAGTCCCAACTTAGCCTGAGCCGGATGCCCCATGATGCCCACGCTTGTGTTCCAAAGCTAAGCCTAGACTACTTGCTTAAGAAGCCCTCAAGAAAGGGTTCTTATAGCAAGAAGCCCCCAAAAAAGAGGGTTCTTAAGCAAATAGTCGTAGACTCTTAGACCCTCTTTCGTGATCTTCCGCGGCAAGACTTCTGGGGTTGAACCCCCCCCAAGCGCAGTCGAGGTGCAGTGCTGGGAGGCGCCAAAGCCGCTAACGGCGGGGCAGCTGCCTCCATGCCGGCTTATACTGGGCTGAGGAGTGCAAGGGTTTTGGGCGGAGGCGTTGATAGGGTTTTGTGTGTGTGCTTTTTTAATGAGAAGCCCTAACGAACATGCGAAGACTCATAATATACATCCTAAACCCTATAGGCTTGGTTTTTTCTAGCACCTTTCGGCCGTTCAGTCGCTCATGCTGTCAAGTTGGGTTCAGGATGGACAGCTCGCGCGAATAGGATTCTTGGCATGGGAGACGCCACCTGCGAAGAGGCCTTGTAACTCAGAGGCCTGAAAGAGTCAGTCGAGTCGGTTGCTTGCTACTTCGACTCTAAAGAATGCTGAAAGGAGGAATCGTGCATGTGAGGTTTGAGCCATGCCGTGGCTGTATCCAAACCCCGCACTCCAAACCTCACGGAGAAAACCTCTGAGGCCCCGGCGGCCACAGCAGAAGCGAACGCGGCCGCGGCAACTGTTGGCAGGGTTTTCCGAGAGCAAGTACGGGGCTTTCGGGTAGCCCTGAAGTTGACACCATGAGGGCTCCGGGCCCCCTAAGCACCCGCCTGCACACCCCAAACCCTGACAAGCCCTCACCCCCTAAACCCCTGGACCCCCATGTAAGTCTTTTTGAACACTCAGATCTGTGAGCCGCTTTTAGCCCTGAGCCCTACGTATGACGAACTCTCCAGAGCAGGAGAGTTGCTGGAGATGTGGGCTCTTTGATTTGGTGTTTACAGAGTTTATAGGGGCTAGGGGTTTAAGGGTCTGTAGTGCTTGGAGATTCCTTGTGATTTGTGCGGACGGCCACCTGCCTAGGCGCAGGGCTTGCTTAGGATCAGTTGTTTCTCGAGGCACTGCTGTGCGCTGGTGCACTGGTAAAGCTGCCTAAGTAATATTCGGGATTGTGCGACTTCCTGGATGGAGCTTCTTTCAATGGAAAATCACTTTTTCCTTTGCGTTCAAGGGATCCCAGAAGTGAGATCACAGCTTAGGAGCTGGAAGGGCAACCAGGACTGAGGCCCACGCCTAATCGAAACCGACCATTGAACCCTCACTCTAAGGGTCTTGGGCCTTCGACTGGCAAGGTTACCCAATTACGGTTCAGCTCTGCGCCGAAAGAAAAATTGGACACACAACAGGACATGGGCTTCTGAACAGTAATCCGAGCTGGGATTATCATGCACGCCCCTATGCACTCAGCCCCGAAGCTCCTACCTATGGACCCCAAGAGTCGAAGCCTGAAAAGCAGTTTAGGGTTTAGGGTTTAGGGTTTAGGGTTAAGGTTTTGGGGAACCAGAGCCGCTCGGGAACTCCACACGAAGAGCGCCGCTTTTCTCGTTCACTCGGATTCTTTGCCCCTCTGCTCTGCGAGGAGAAGACTGACGTGGCCGGCAGCCCACATTCGCTTGCGACCCTGCCTCGGATATGGGGCTTTCCGAGAATAGGGTTCCGAGAATAGGGACCTCCAACATAGGTCCCCTAATAGAAGGATACCCTCATCATGAGGACCCGAATCAGGTACTCCTAAACCCTAAACCGTATCCCCTAAACCCTGAACTCTGAGCTCCCATCTGCTTCGGAGTACTTTTATTGGGCGACTTTGGGGGGTGCTTGGGGTGTTTGGGGGGCTTCGGCTGCTGGGTTGGGAGGTAACCCAAGGACTGCAAACGATTGCAGGTTTAGGGTTTAGGGTTTAGGGTTTAGGGTTTAGGGTTTAGGGTTTAGGGTTTAGGGTTTAGGGTTTAGGGTTTAGATTCAATAGTCGGTTCGAAGCAAAAGTCGATACCGATCGGGTCGGGTCGATCCAGGCAAGGTGCAGACTGTGGGTACTGGCGGGGAGGCAGAAAATCACGCTTCAATGAAAACAACGAAGGACATCAGCAAGAATTACGCATTTATGTGCCAAATTCTGTTGCTGAAAATGCTTCTTGATTGCCAGGCGTGGGCCATGGTAACGATCAGTTCATCCAATCGGCACTTCAACCGAACCTGGAGTGATTCTGCCGGTGCAGCGCCTGATCTTCCCTTGATGTCTTGTGCTAGGTACCCACCTTATGAGCCGCCAAACATGAAATCCCACCCAGTTGCGGCGGCTGAGCCACGGTGAGAGCCTTGCGCTATAGAAGGAGGGAGAATGACATAGAGCGAGCGAGTGAGAGAGCGAGAGAGGTGTGGCTTCGGGACGCATGGCTTCATTGATTTCAGGCTTAGGGGTAAAATTGTGGAGCAGAGTGCTGCAGACAGAAGTCTTGGTGGTTCTTCTTCATGTCTCTAAGGTTCGAATTGCGGCGGGAGGGATTCCGGACAGAGAAACTGAGGCTTCAAGAAATAGTTCAAGAATCCACACACCTGCTTCTCCTGGGGCTTCATGTCTGCACAATCAGGGATCCGCAGTGGTCCGCGTGACGGCGTGGGTGTGTGTGATGCATGCTTGAAAGACAAGGGAGGGCTTGAAGGAGGAATGACAGGCGCTTTATCAGGGGCCCAAGTCTGAGAAGGGTACCTACAGTACACTTGGAGCAACCCCCTCAAACTGTTTGTGACATCTTCGGGAGGCAAATACCAATGGCCCAGGATTGCACAAAAGGCAACGCTGTGAAACCTGTGTCTCGTTCCGAGGTACGATCTGATCTGGGGACGTTCGGCTCGACACACTTGCGCGTGCTTCCGCCTGTCTCAGATTTGGGGTTTCCAGGGTTGGGCGCTCTATGGCTCTATGGGGCTTAAGGCCTCGCGTTCGCCACTCGTGTCTTGAAAGTACCCACGGTGTTGCATCTTGGCCTCCCTTTTTGGTTCTCGTGCCTACTTCGCGGTCCAGTGGGAAGCTGTGTTGAATCAATATAACCCTCATGACCTAATGCATACCTCTTGTGGCTCTGTCTCGCGAGTTGCGCTGTTTGAGGGGAAGAACGCCGACGTGAGCCCTCGGCAGCCTCCGTCCGCATCCCACGGCAAACATGCGTTGCATGCTGCCCAGCATGGCCACTCGCCCTCTGCCCCAAGTCAAGAGCAATAGTGGAGTTTACGAAAATGTAGCAGGATTCCCTTATAATAAGGACCCCAATAAAGTGGCCCTAAATTTCGGAAACCCCAGATGCAAGAAATCGCCCGGCCTCATGCTGAAGAGCTTCGCCCTTCCCAATTCTGCTGCTTGTCAAGGTGCTGTGGCGCTGGTCATGTGCATTCTCAGCTTTCGCCTGCTGCGCCTCGGGGAGCAGGCCCTCAGGGAGCTGGCCCTCTGCTCTCAAGGTCATCCTTCGCCTGTATTGGCCCTGCCTGAGTTGTGCTTCAAAAACCTTTGGAAGATGATTTTGCAAATAAGGTCCCCTGGTAAGGAAGGAAGGGAAAGTAAAAATTTCCCAAAAGCACAAGCCATCTGCTTCTTGTTGAAGTCATCATCACGGAAGAGCGTCTCGAGGAAACCTTTCTGACGATCGCCATCGAAGAGGTCCACCACATCATCAAGCTGCACGTGGTCGTGGGCATGGTGCAACTTCATGTACCTGGGGTTTAGGGTTTGGGGTTTAGGGTTAAATCGCTCACACTCGGACAAGCCAGGTGAGGCACACACTGTTCCAGAGGGGTTTAGGGTTTAGGGCTTAGGGCATTGTCGGGAACCACTATTGCCGAACCTTACTTAGCTTACAATTCAACACTGGAGATGGAAGGGTGCCGGTGATACGATGACTGAGATGATGAAACTATCTACTTGACACCCATATACAAAACCGGACTGTCTGGGCTGCTAAGGCGCTTCATTCGGTCGACAATCTTTTGGTCCTCTCCATTGTGCAGCTCTTCCTCAGGTCATGCAAACTACGCGAAGTGCGCGAACACAACTGAGAAAATGCACAGCACTACACCAAGATCGAGCCATACCCCCTAACAGCCTTCCTGAGCAGTCTCGAAGTCAACAAGACCTAAACTTCTCCAGGAAACGAGACCCGAAAACCACCCAAATACTAAAACCCTTGTGTTGGACCCCACATCTCAGAACCACTTGGCTTCTCTTCATCCCCACTCGAGGTGTGGGTTTCAGGTGTTTAGTGAACCCGTAGAATGAGGCACTTCGTACATAGGAACAGCATGCGATCTCCCGAAGTCTGGCCCATTGATGTCGCAAGGAAATTGGGACCAGCTTGGTCAGATGACAAACACCTCCTGGGAACACATTGTCTTGCAAGGTATCCCCAATCACTGGCATCTTCATAAAGTCTCCAAAAGGACGATTCTTTTTCAGATGTCAGTTCACCAGGCCGAAGAAGGTCTTCGCTCGAGCTGGCGACTGTCGAAAGGCCACCAGATTCACATATCACTGCGGTGGCCCACGTCGGAAAGACTTGCTTCCCTGCCACAAGCACTACCATCATGTTTTTATGGAAGGAGCTTCAGCCGAAGCATGCCATAGAAAAAGACCTTGCTGACCCATGTTTTTTTTGGCTTGATCGGTGGCTGTCTACTCTCCAGCTGGTTCACTTGCTTTGTCTGGCAGCTTTGTGTCAACATGGAACTTTTGTACCAGTGTGGCACCGTTGCCATGGCAAAGTGCTCGAAACAATGGTTTTTTTTTGCGTCTGGTTCTCCGCTGGCTGGGAGCAAAATGGAATCAGCACCTTTCATGCTTTCGGGGTACGGGAGAAAGCCACTGCCTTCACATGATGTGATCAGCTTGAAAGAACAATTCAAGCAAGACGCACGCTTGGCGTTCGCTGCAAATCGAGTTGCGAATTCAAGATTCCCCGATGGCGTTTTCCCAAGTCCCGACCGCAAGTCAACCCTAAGCCACATGTTTCGGGCGCAGGCCCAGCAAACAAACAAACACAGCCGACATGGAGGCTGTATTGGGAGACCGGGGGGCCATGAGAAAGTCAACGATGTGGTCTTTCTCCCTGTCCTGGTCCAGGGTTTGAAGGCTTGGGGGCCATTGAAGCTTTGCACTGCAGTACTGCAAGGGGTTGCTTTCGGAGATCATGATTTGAGATTTGATGAGGGCTTAGGGCTTAGGGCTTAGGGCGTATCGCACTCTGTCATTGCGTGACACGGATCTCAATTCCAGAGAGCAATTAAGAGAGTTCAGCATCATGGCAGCAACGTGTGGATGCACAAGGGCCCGACCTCAAATCAACAAATGTTCCGAGAGCCCTCTCCTGCAGGTCCTCTTCTTTTCCTCAAAAGGATCCGAGGAGAAGCTAAAGCCCGAGCACACGCCTAAACCCTCGAAAGAATTTCGGTAACACGGAGAGGGTTCAGTCTGGAAAGAGCGCAGTCGGTTTGAGAAGCTTGCATGTTCATACGATCCAGGGTTTGCAGCCCGGACCCGCAAAGGACAAGCAGATTCTAAGCTCGGTCGTGGCAGCCGGGGCCAAAAGAACTATCTTTACCCGCCCGCTTCACTGGGCCGTAGTGAGAAGTTCTCTCTGGAACACAAGCCCTTGCAGATCCCAAGGCAAACCGCCAGGTTGTGACCAGGATCTCAGGATCTCATCCATCAGTTGCTTCATGTGACCTGAAGAGTCACGAGGTGGCAACGCATCGGGCACACAAGAAAGCTAAGAAAGCCGGGTTGCTGAAGGGCGTTTCTTTTGAGGACTACAGCTGCCACTGATTAACCGGACTGCAACGAGCCCACGGCATTAGAGACATGTGACGAGGCCCCCCCAGCCTCTTAGCCAGCCCAAACATTGAGGTTCATGGGTAGTTATCCGTAGGGTGAAAGGTAGGGCAACTATACTTATAGCCTGACTTAGGGCACTTAAAACCCTAAGTATAACTACCCATGAATCTCCAAGTAGGGTCGCAGTGTAGGCCCACGCGGGAAGCTGAGCTAGTGCGAAGCGACAGTGAGGTCGTGAGCTGGTGGCCAAATTCACCCTTCTTAAGCACGGACTGAGGAGGCTCCCGGAAACACAATTTGGCCCAAACCCTAAACCCCAAACCCTAGACCTTACTGTTTACAACGGCACTGGGAGCACCCAAATGCTCGAATGCTCGAACTTGGTTCCGTGGGGGCAAAGTCCACGCTCTGGTACAGCTGGCACAAGAATGGCCACATTCCGACAATCTCAAGCGCCGAAGCCAGCACCACCAGGTTTTTTAACAAAGCTCAGGGCCCCCAGACCCTTACGCCATAAACCATGCGCTGGATGCAATCCAGGCAGCCTTTGGTGAACTTGTTTTCCGCAGTCTGGCCGCCGCCCTGTGAGGGGGCCGCAGACTTGGAGGCACAAGGCGTTTCAAGGAGTGTTTCAACCCCAAACCCGAAAACCCTAAAACCCGAAAACCCCAAACCCCCCCCCCCCCCCGCCCCCAAAAAAAGATTAAATCCCGAAAAATCCTGAGAACCCTAAAGACCCTAAACCCGAAACCAAGGAGTCTTAAGGGTATGTTTTCTTCGGGCTTGGGACGCAGCGGGTGGGCAAACTTCCGCTCCTACGCTGCCTGCTTGTTGCACCCCGACCGCCGATTGTAATCCCTACTAAGGACCATTTGTGATGATTATCACTATTATTACTATGATTACTATTATTATTACTACTATCACTACTACTATTACTATTACTATTACTATTACTATTACTATTACTATTACTATTACTATTACTACTACTATTACTATTATTATTCTTGGCTTGTGTAGTAAGATGATTACGATGGGACCCAGGCTCCGACAATGACCCTGACCCTGCCTGCTTGTTGCACAGATCCTCGAAGGCCGCCTGAGACTGCAACTAAACCCTAAACCCTAAACCCTTCTTTTGAACCCAGACTCTGTAAGTCAGCACCCTAAACCCTAAACCCTAAACCCTAAACCCTAAACCCTTTTCATGGGAACCTGGGTCCTATCAAACTCGTCTTGCTATAAAAGTTGGCATGTTCCCCCATACTTGATAGGGGTTTAGGGTTTGGGGTATAGGGTTGTAATAGGGGGTACTAGAATCCTTATGAAGGGCTGCTAGTGTCAGGGGGGAAACATCCCAAATCTTACTTATAGAGGCATCTAGCAACAAGAGTCAGAGTGAGTGGCAATAGCAATCATAGTAATCATAGACCGTACTGTCTGACCCCAAGAAACTCCCACAAAAAACCGCTCTCCTCTGCCGTGGGCCTTTGAACACCAGCACAACACAAAGACGCATCCATAGGGGGGGGCTTCTTCGACTTTTTGCCATTTCTTATCAGATGCCTTACTTTTTTCCGTATTCATGAGATCGACTGTTTTTGATATTGTTCTTGCTCTTATGTGCTTTTTTCAGCGTATAGGGCCGCATAGGATGTACGGGTCTCTTCTAGCATGCGGGGTCGGTCTCCGGGGCTTTAAGGGGTCTCAGGGGGTGGCGTTGTAGGTTGCAAAATATTGTCACCCTAAACCCTAAACCCTAAAACCCTAAACCCTAAACCCCCTGACCTTTTTGCAGGCTTTGGATGCTTTAGCTTCCACGCTTCAAAGAAGCCCCCACGAACTTTGATTGTCATTTGAGAGAAGCCCGGCCCCTTTGAAGTCTGACATTTCGAGCTCGTAAACCCTAAACCCCTAAACCCCTAAACCCCTAAACCCCTAAACCCCTAAACCCCTAAACCCCTAAACCCCTAAACCCCTAAACCCCTAAACCCCTTAAACCCCTTAAACCCCTTAAACCCTAAACCCTAAACCCTAAACCCCACCCCCTGAACACTCCGAAACTTAGGAGGTTCTGGGGTTTAGGGCACTTAAGGTTTAGGGCACTTAAGGTTTCTGGGACCCCCGCCTACCTGAGCTCTGAAAGCTGAAGCTGCTGAAGCCCACAACCATTTGGGTTTAGGGTTTGGGGATCTTTCAGTACTTGCTGCACGCCAACCGTTCGAGGAAAGGCCTCGCTGGTCATGAGGCGGGTGATCATCGATCGGCAGTCTTGAGCCACCTGTTGTACAATTTCACACAATTCTCGGTGACCGTCACGGTTGGAAATATAGGGGCCGGGCTGTTCGCGTGCAACATGCACCTTGAAAAGCATGTAAGCACAGAACGTGTAAGGACATTTGCTCCCTGAAAACTCTTTCGGCAAGCAAATCATGTCTGCGGGTGTGTCTATCTACATATTCCGGGGGGGTGCAAGCTTGCTTCAGTATACCCCACGGTATGAAGAGGTAGGTTAGCTGCTGGCTTGTTTTTTCAACTCCGAAAATAAAGCTATGAACATTCCAAACACAACGTCAGCCTTCCAAAAAGTGCTCTGAACTACCAGCCATATTATAGAAAATTTGTCGCAAAACTGACAAAACACACCAGCACACCAGCAGATCGTGTCAACGTATCAAAAAAACGAAACGAAAAGGCCATGCAACACCAAAACAGAAACGAAACTGCAAGACATGCCCCACAATGCAACCATAGATGGCTCAATTTCGCCCATGGCCTGTGCCACAGCACCGAAGTGATTGCAAGAACCAAACGGCATGAAATGGAATATTTCGGAAGTAAACAGCCCGCCGGGATATGCTTTGTGTGTTTGCGCGCTCTCTCAGGAGTTAAAAGATAACCCGGCCACAGATGACTCTGTTTTATGACAAGATCCCAAGTACGAGTCTACAACTACATGGCACAACACCCAGAACAGTGTTCAGGCCAAATCACGTTGACTTTAATCTCCATGGCGGCGTAGAAGATGTTGGAAAGCGGGCCTGGCCGAGTTCCCACATACTGCTTGCAAAGCTCAACAACTCTGCCGCCCGCAAGCATATTGATAACACAGGCACAGTCACTTTGAGAAGCGGATTCTCAACGAGCTTGTGCGGAGTAACCCTCGGCATGCTTGAGGTCTCTTCATACGATCAATGCTCAGCTCAAGCTGCAGTTTAGCATGGTTCCATCCCAACCGAAGGTTTCTTCTTGCAACATGGGATGAAGCAGACTCCAAGATGAGCAAATCTAGATCGGGTTTAGGGTTTAGGGTTTAGGGTTTAGGGTTTAGGGTGTGCTCGGAGACATCAGTTGCTCGACAGTTTCTGCTTGACGGAAGGTGGCTTGCAACTCGTTCAGGGAGAGTCCGAACGAAAGCATGGCACCAAAGATGTGAGACAGCGCTTGTGGCACTAGACTTCAGACTCCTTGAACCCTGAACCCTAAACCCTAAACCCCTAAACCCCTAAACCCCTAAACCCCTAAACCCCTAAACCCCTAAACCCCTAAACCCCTAAACCCCTAAACCCCTAAACCCCTAAACCCCTAAACCCCTAAACCCCTAAACCCCTAAACCCCTAAACCCCTAAACCCTAAACCCTAGTCTAACCGGGTTTAGGGTCTAGGGTCTTTTGCCCATAGTATATCTGCGACTCTCCATCTCCGATACACCGTGCCTCCCCTACACGACCCAGCTACCCTAAACCCTGAACCTTAAACCCTAAACCCTAAACCTTTCGTGGGGTGGTGCATCCGGAAGGCCTAGGAAGTTCACGGCGACGAGGCTAATGACCAGCGTGGGCAGGATGGTTAAGAGGCTCCTGCAGTTCGACCGGGGCGCAGGAGCCGTCTCCTACCCTAAACCCTAAACCCTAAACCCTAAACCCTAAACCCTAAACCCTAGGCCCTAAACCCTAAACCCTAACCCTAAACCCTAGAGTCGCCTTAAATTCCAAGTATTGTGCAAACCCACAGACCTTAGGGTTGAAGAGTTGGTGGCGGGCCTATCGGTCCCAAACCCGAAGCCACTGGAATGTCATGTGCCTACAAGGCCTGGGCTTAGGAGAGGCGCATGACGAGTGGGCGGTTTGTACGACGGCCGGGAATTCCGGATTCTTGAGGGCTTACGGGGTCTAGCGTTCTTGAGCTTAGCCATCCAGGGCTCGGCTCCTGCTATCGGGAATGCCAGTAAGGTTTAAGGTTTAGGGTTTAGGGGGGTCCTTGCTCAAGCTTAGGGCTCAGAATTTTAGGAGCGAGAGCCCGAAGTTGCGAAACCAACCCTATGTAAAAATCACCCATGACACACGGTCTGACACTCTACAACGACATCCGGCCCAGAAGCTGCAAGGCTAAATCTCACAGTGCCTCGACCCAAGCAGAAATCCTCCGGTTTTACCGGTTTGGACCCCCAAGTACCGAGCTTCTTTGTGTCGTTTTGGGGAGGGGGGGGGGTTTTCTCAAGTTATCAACCGACTCATAGGATCGAGCCTCTGCAGGTTTGGAGTGGAGAGTCTATCCGAAGAGCCCATAAATCCGTACCAGAAGGTGAACACCTTTGGGGGGCCAAGGGCCAAGGCGCAAGATGTTCGAAATTGCCGTGGTCAGCAAGGTGAAGTCCAGGAAATCGATTTTTCCTCTGTGCAATCTTGCCGACAGGCATTTGTATTAGGGTTAGGGTTTCTCTCTCTCTCTCTCTCTCTCTGTCTCTGTGCCGCGCCATCCCCGAGGGTCTTGCTACGCAAGGATCTCAGGAGGGGCAGTGTGACCGCGGGTTTAGGGTTTAGGGTTTAGGGTTTAGGGTTTAGGGTTTAGGGTTTAGGGTTTAGGGTTTAGGGCCTAAGTTTAGGGTTTAGGGTTTAGGGTCTGACAAGCGCGTGCATACGCACGCGGACTAACCGCACAAGACTGAGCTACCCGGCCTGAATGACTGCGAAGGGGCAGTTGCTTGGGACAACCCGTTGAGAATGACTTCCGAAATCCCTTCACATCAATACTACGTTTCTGCCTAACAAATTCCTTCAAACCTAGGGGGTAGCCGCTAGCCCACGGTAGCCGCTTTGCGCGAGAAGTTTTGGGACCTCGATGCCGGAACTGCAGCAGCCCACCGCAGCCCCATAGAAGTAAAAGGTCGACGCCTTCCACCCTACAAAAGCCTTCAAGACAACCGGAAGCCCCTAAACCCTAAACCCTAAACCCTAAACCCTAAACCCTAAACCCTAAACCCTAAACCCTAAACCCTAAACCCTAAACCCTAAACCCTAAACCCTAACCCTAAACCCTAAACCCTAAACCCTAAACCCTAAACCCTAAACCCTAAACCCTAAACGGACACGTGGCCCTGGACGGCGAAGCGGACTTCCACGCCACGCTGATGCCGCGCCCGATAGGCAGACTCCTTTGCTGAGGGGCACCTACTGTTGGTTAGCGGGGAATGGGGGAATGAGGCACCCTATAATAACCCCTTAAAGGGCATATATATATATATATATATACATGATCAGGGTGCGGCGGGCCCCCTCCCCCCCTCCAATGGTTCCCCCCCCCCCCGGTGGTGTGGTTGTGGGTTGGTTTTTGGGTCTAGGGCCCAAATTCCCTCATTCCCTGCTAGCCAACAGTAAGTTACAGGGTGCCTTGGTGGCGGCAAATGTAGGAAGAAAAACAGCCCCTTAATGCGCCACACCTTCAAGGTGTGAAGGCCTGCTACACTCAGGACCGAATCATACACAGCCTCGGAAAATTAAAACCTTCATCAGCTTCTTGAGGCGTTGTTTTTTGCATCTTTGGTCTAACTGGTTTGTGGGTTTGGCTCCAGGGCTTGCGTTCAGCCGAGGCTCGGCACCGTCGATTCGGCTGTAGTCGTAGTGGAGCACTGGCCGCGCGTTCCAGCGCTGCATGGCCCGCACGCGGGCGAAGCAGACGACCCCGTTGAAGTGCACGCCGTGGATATTTCGGTAGTCCAGTTCCTATACTCCCCTTAGAACCTGAATAAGAATCATATTTTTAAATATTTTCCTGGGATTTAAATACACAAAAAAATCATTCCCAAGGGGGATATAGGTTCAATGGCCAACTCCAGGCCCGTCAGGCGCGCAACCGGGGGCTCGCTGTGGGCTTGGGTGGCGACCGCGGGATCAGACCACTCCAGGTCCACGCCTGCACACCGCAACCACTCCTCTATCGTCGCACCGATCCCCAGCCGGGACTCGTGGGGATAAAATCGCGAGGTGCCGCCAATAAGGCACTCCTGGCCCTGGTCATCTTGGACGACCGTGAGGATCCCCTCATCCCGCACATCCTGCCAGGAGCGTCCATCGGAACTTCGCTGATTGGACGAGAAGCGGGTGCTTCCGCGCATCCGCTCGTTGCCGAAGACTCCCATGTTGCTTGCAAGGAACCCATGCATCACTAGGAATCGTTGCTTCTCCGGCGAAGCAGCAAAGAAGGAGCGTTGCCTTCGGCACTCACACGCTACCCCTCCTGCGCTAGACACCGGCGTTCGAGTATAAAACAGGGTGCCACCGACCTGCTGACAAAGCAGGTCTGCTTCCACAACATTGGACGCATTAACATAGTCGAAGCATTTCTTGGCTCCGAAAGTCCTCAGTAGGCACCGACTTCGATTGCTTGCAAGTGCTTGGGGCCTTCGAAACGTTGGGTTCAACATGCACATTCTCCATGGGGGGGCCCTCCACGAACCTCACATGCTCAAACGCTTCAGCCAGTGATGTTCGCAATGCATTGTAAACCAATGACGCAGCGCCGAGAGACAGGACGTACGTGTCGTCAACGGACGTCGGGAAAAACAAGCTGGACTCTCCCTTCAGGTAACTTTCGCCGAAGGGCAGGTGTTCCTTGCAGACACGCGTTTACATGGAAATGGGTTGGGAGCCCTATATGCAAATCCCCCTCCCCCCGAAATTTTGAAGGGCAGACTCCGAGCACATCAGGGAATCTTTCTGTTCAAGAACAGATACAACCCCAAAACCGAAGCCCCTGAAACTTTCAAATCCCCACCTGAAGCCCGAGTACCCCTTTGTAAGGACCTAAGCGCACAGTACCTTGAACGATACTTGAGGGCGAGAGGACTTCAGACATCTAAGCAATCTCATCTTAGGATTTGGTGAGTTGTCTCGATGTGCTGTGACGCTTTCGATGCTAAGACTTCTAAGACTTAAACCAGAAGGGGCGGCGGCGGGGGAGTAGGGCGTGCACTTGCACCTGCAGGGCATCCACCCAAACTGAAACCTGACTCAGAGACCCCCATGTACTCTTGCGCAAAACTGATGAACCCAAGAAGGGACAGTAGAAAATGTCCCAAGGGCCCACCCAGGAAACTTTTGGGTTTAGTGGCGCTTCTGTTAGGAGGAGAGGGTGTCGGTGAGGCTCGTACTTTAGGGCTTAGGCTAGGATTGCTGGCTCAGCTTCCCCTACTGTAGGGGCTCCAAGTATCGGAATGCGCAGGGATCTGTCGATATACTCGGGCCATACAAGTAGCTACTCAAAGCTAAGACTCATGCACATTGTATCACAACTTCTCGACTCCGAGCGAGAGACAGAGAGAGAGGGCGAGAGAGAGAGAGAGAGTGATCTTCGTGGCGAGAGTCACACCCGGCCATCTTGTAGCTGAAGCGCTCGCTATAGTTGTAGTCATACCGAGCCTTCACAGATCAGACTGGTGTCGGACAACAGCGCTTGAAAATTCAATTTCGTGCTCATTCCAAAATGATTTAACGGCTAAACCCCAAAGTCCCTAAACCACAAAACACACCCAAGCTCCCCGGAGCTAAGGAGCAGGATCTGTGCAGTAGGTCAGCCCGTCGTCCACCTCAGAGCGGCATCGAACACCCCGTAGATTCCCTATAGGATCCCTGAACACCACATCTTCTCCATACAGACAAGTGGATCCAGGTTAAGGGTTACTACCCACTCAGCGCCTATAATCAGAACAACGGAACACGATGCAGCAATTTGCCCCCGGCAGCGCGTGAAACCTCCAAGTCAGTTGCTTACTTTCCCCGAATCTGTGGCTACACTATAGCAGATTAGCAAGTTCAAGGTAGGGTTTAGGGTTTAGGGTTTAGGGTTTAGGGTTTAGGGTTTAGGGTTTAGGGTTTAGGGTTTAGGGTTTAGGGTTTAGGGTTTCGGCTCTCGCGCTCGCACAAGGCAGGCAAGGACTCGGTTGGAAGGTTCTCACCATGACAATCCGCCAGATTCCCACTCAAGCGCAGCTCCAAACGCGATAAATTAATAGTGTAGGTCAACGAACCATGTGGAGGTGGAATCTCGTGCTGCGAGGACAGTTCATTGACCATTCTCGTTCCATCTGACACTACATGTTTGTCTACTATAACGGTTCTGTGCTGACATTCCCCATCTACCTCACTCGCCGGTTGCACTGAAAACATATACTAGCAAACAGATACCCAGATTTAAATCCTAGTGGACCAAAACCGGGACCATCACGAGCTGGAAGAAGGGCCACCACAAGCTTGTGAGACGGCAAACCCTATTCATAGCAGCAAAGTCTGTACCTCTAGGTGACACAGCGCCTGCTCTCATGAGCCCTTGTCCCCCATCTTCATCTCACTGCTCACGACCTCTCAGACGTCAGTCCCTTGGTGTCTATCCCACTCTCCAACAGGATCCTGCTGGAGACTCTGTCCCCTGGCAGGCCCTGTGACCCTCGCTTCTTCTGCCGCCCAGGCTCCGCATTCACAATGCGGCTTACACGGATTCTCCATTCCGAATGGGAAGCTTGCACCTGCGTTGAATTGTGGCAGCGTTCAGGTTTGTCTGGGCAGTGCTCATCGCCTCATCTGGCAGCATCTGGCAGCTCATCATGCAGTCTCTCTTCTTCTGTCCGGCCCCCCTTCAGGCATTGACAACATGCATTGAAGACCAGTCTTTAGCCAGACTCCTGACCCCCGAACTCAGAACGCGGCTTACACGGATGCACCATTCCGAAGGGCAAGCTCGCAGCGCTGAAGTGTGGCAGCGTTCATGTCTGTCTGGGCTATGCTCATCACACTCAAGCTCTCAGTCTCGCCGTTGCAATGCATCAAGTGGCATACTGTCGACGGGACCCATATGGCTGATACTAGAGGACAAAGCTACATTGTTGGGCAATGGCAGGACTGTATTGGAGGCATGTGTCATGACAGAGTGAGAAAGTCTGCGACCTCGGCTCGCATTCACAGCGGTGTGCGCGCGTGTGTGTAGGCGTGTGCACGCGTGCTTACCAGGCAGCCTCCAGCCCTCCTATTTACCCACACAGGTCTCCAGGTCGGGCGGCGGTCACGGCCGGAGGCCTTTCATGTTGCAGGCTCTGCTCCGTCCCTTGCTTCTGCTAGGAACATGCGACCCCATACGGCAGCGTCACCCCAAACATTGTTCCCGGCCGCCCACCACCACTCAATTCCTCAGGGGCGCAGGTCTAGGCGCTCGTTTCGTGGGCCTAACCCTGGGTGGGAGGGGTGGGGGAAGAAAGGCGTGGCGCACTCTCCCCTGACTAGGAACATGCGACCCCAATACGGCAGCGTCACCCCAAACATTGTTCCCGGCCTCCCACCACCTCGCAGTTCCTCAGGGGCACAAGTCTTGGCGCTCGTTTCGTGGGCCTAACCCGGGCTGGACAAAGAGCATGCAAGCACCCACAGTCACGGAGTGCCTGACTGGCAAGTTAGTTTATGGTCTTGGTTACTGCAGTGTAGGGTTCCGGTTTAGGGGCTAGGATTGAGGGTTAAGGGTAGAGGTTCCCAAGGCAACGTTTCGTCATCATCTACTTGACCTGCTGGGCGCAGGGGAGGCATCTCTACACGGGCTCCTTCTTATCAGTGGCAGTGGGCCGTCCTACCCCCCCCCCCCCTCCCTGTCTCGACCCATTTGTCGTCCGAGAAGAACTGAGCATTTTCTCCGTTCATGCATCTGATGAGAGTGTTTGTTAAGGGCGGGAACACTTGGGGCGGCACATTGTCCCAGGGCTCCGCAAAGCGGGGGGTTTTCAGGGGTTTGAGGTGGCATCTCTGCAGCAGGCAGGTAGCATCCCACAGCCCTAGCAGTTCTTGGAGACTTGGCTGTACCTCCGCGTCCACCCGCTCCTGAAAGATGTTCCCGTCCCAGAAGTGACGGGGTATCACCACATGTGTTTCCTCTTCACACAAACACATGAAAACCTGCGCTATGAATTTCCATCCCTGGATCTTGACCAGAATACTGGGACTGTCAGGCTTGACTCTTTGCTGCACCAAGATCTGACGCTGAGGCTGCGACTGGTGCTGTGCAACAACAACACTGATAGAGCCCTTCTGTTGGCTGGCCCATAGCACTGTTGCCGTCTGGGGGGGAACATAGGGCTTAACATGCACCACGCCAGTACCATACGGGGTTTCAGTAGCCTGTCTTGATGGCCTAAGAAAGGCCGCCACTCGGTCCAACAAGACTAGCTGCTTGTTCATCAGGTATTCTGGGTGTGTGGGGTGCTGGACATGCCCATTCCAGTGCCTGACCCAATGCTCCTCCAGGGAGTCCCACAACTGTCTGTTTTGAGCCGCCGTTTCCCACGAACCCACCATGTTCCTCGTCTTGATGCCGAGATACACATGCTGAAGCTTTCTTTGCGCCGCATCAACAAGGTATGCTGGCTTCAGGAATCCGCAAGATATTCGCAGGGTCATGCACGATCTGAATAGGCGGGAGCAAGGCGTATCCAAGACTGCTCGAGCCTTGTGTCCCCAGTATCTCCGGAGGAGCAGCGTGCTCCACGTCTCCCTTTGTTGCTTTTCGCAGACGATCTTGGCAGCCCTTCTGCGACTTATCTCATAGTCTACCCACGGCATGAAGGGATCTGTGGGGAGCCTTAGCATGCTGAGGACGAGGCTGGCGCGGACCCCTTCCAGGTGCTTCAACATTCGCACACTAGGCCACAGGGCCGGCGCGCACCACAGCCACCGAGATGCTACATATGTCTCGAACAAGTCCAACTTGGTATCTAGCCTAGTGTCCGCCGCCTCAAACAAGCGCTTGAAGGCAAAGAAAGTAGTGGTACTTTTCTTCAACACATAGCTGAGGACCGCACTGGCATCCGGCGAATGCGACAATGGGACTCCTAAGAAGACCACATGTGTTTCACCCTGTAGGGGGGCAGCTTGTCCCCTCAGCCACACTCCAGGCGTGGTCCCGTCTGGCAGATTCAGGACCTTGCATTTACGCAAGTTGACATGGAGTCCAATCGTGGCCAGGGAGTCTGCTATGCACTGAACTTTGTGCTGGAGTTCCTCCGGGGTGGCTCCTGCCACCAGGATGTCATCGGCGTACAGCAGGAAATGAGGCAAGGCAATCACTCCAGCCCACTTGGGCCAGCGAGTTCGAAAGAGGTCTTCCAAAGGTCCTAGGGCCATGTCAATTACCCTACTGAACAGGTCCGCCGAGAAGCTGGTCCCCTGCATGATCCCCTTTCCCATCGGCACATCCCAAGCCTCCGATCCTAGCCCCATACGCACTGTGTTGTCGGCACATAATTTCCACATGGCTGAAGCTTCTGCGCAGGGCCGACACCGTAGCAGCCACGTGAGTATCGCTCTGTGCGAGACCGAGTCAAAGGCAGCCCTGATATCAAGCTTGGCCAAGCAAATGGGACGCTTATGTACATGTCTCGCAACTGCTATCATGCTTTGGGCAGTCGTGATTCCGTCCAAGGTTTGCATACCCTTGCGTGACCCCAGCTGTCCTGCTTGATAAGGAGGCGCCACCTCATGCAGTCTCCTCATGAGGATTTTCCCGTACAGGCGACATAAGCACGGTGTGAGACATATCGGCCTCAAGTCCCCTGGCCCCTCCGGTTGCGCCGTCTTAGGCAGAAGGCAAATCTTGCCGATTCGCCACAGCGCGGGCACAGGGATCGAGCCCGTCATGATACGGGTGAGGTACTGAGGAAGGCGGTCCTTATCGTCTTGGAGCAGCACTGTTCTCAGGGCCTCATACGTGACCCCATCCTGGCCAGACGAGACGCGATCCTGCACATTTTGCAAGGCGTCGAGCATGTCCTGTCGGGTGATAGGTTTCGGGGGCGGGACGTCCAACCCAAGCTGATCAACTTGCACGTCAGTGGGCGGATCATCTTCTCTGGCATACTTGGCTTCATAGAACGCTTGGAGTTCCTGGGCCGCCGCCCTGGCCCCTCCTTTCCGAGCAACATAACTGCTTTCAAGCTGTTGCGCCGAGGAGCTCCGTCTAATATGTGCGATGGCTGCCCTGTTACCTTGCCTTGCCTGCTGGAGAAGACCGAGTTTATGCTCAGCTTTGTCATGTTTTCTTTGTTGGGCTATTTCCTGAACCAGGACCTCCCTTTCGGCAGGATCAATGGAACGCTTCCTCTGTGCAATCAGGCCTTTGATCTGGGGGGAGTCCTCATATCTCAAACTAGGGGCCCTCGTGCAATGCTGACTGCATACCTGCTGAATTTTGTCCTGATCCAAGTCTCCGTGAAGGGCACGAATGGTGGCACCGAATTCCTGTTGACTAAATACCCACTGCCCACACTTATCGGTTTTTTTCTAGGGGTTTCATGCAGTGAAGTCCGAGCCGTTGCTGTCATTGACAGTGGATCGTGGTCTGAGGGCAGCGCCAGTCTGAGGTCCTGGCGTCTGCTGCACTGAATGTGCAGGCGGGGGGTTCTGAGCAGGAAGAAATCTATCGGGGAACTAACTCCTCTGGCGTGCCACGTAGGGCCCAAGTCTCTGGACGGTTCGAGTCCATGCAGGCGCATGAGCCCCCGCAAGAAAGGCATGCCATGAAATTCATCCACATCCGCGTGCAGGTCCTGATTCACATCACACCCTAAGATCGCTACATCACAAGATCGCAGCTGCAACAGTTCTTGCGCAAGTTGTTCAATTCCGGCTTGCCACGACCCTACAGCGTCTTCCCTTTGGGCGTGAGGAAAGTGCAGTGATCCTACTAGCCACTTGCGTCCTTGCAGGGAGAGCCGGGGGAGGATCCCAAAACGATGGATGGTACACGCGCTGGGCTCAGTGAGGAGTTGTTGGGAGACACAAAGGGCGGAGCATCGGAAACTATCCGTAGGGTTCGCCAAGAAAACAGTATACTGCATCTCTCCGAGATGGAAGTCGCGTGTTGAGGTATGCCCTTCCGGCAATTCTTTGACCCCTCCTAGCTCTTGGAGCATGAGGATGTCCGGCGGCGCCTCAGTAAGGTGCAAAACGTTGCGCAGGTCATCTAGACTCTTTCCATGCAGGTTCCACGTCATGCATCGTAAATTCATTGAGGTCATCGTTTTTGTCTTGCGTCGCAACCCCCACCCTAGCTCCTAGGCCGAGGCCTCCGGGGCGAAGTACTCTTTAATGCTCTCAATTGTTTCGGACATCAGTCTCGCTGCCAAATCCCCCAACAAAATCCACCCACTTTCATTTCCCTTGGCATCACGCAGTCGGATGGGGTTAGGGTCATTAGGGACGTGGGGGTAGCTGGCATGGAAGAGCACATTACGTCCTCGAATCCAGAGCTTGCCAGACCAGTCCATTTCCACATTGGCCGCTCCTACACGCTGCGTAGCAAAGTCCTTTACGGAAACAATCGCCCTGACCTTAGCCCTCTCACTAGCGGAACGGTTTCGGGTTATCCAAAGGCGTTGGCCACCCTGGCCTTCGATACGGCTGGCCCCCATTCGTGGTTTGAGCGCGGCAATGATGGTGGACTGAAGGATTCGCTTGGCCCCCAAGGACTCATTTGGGTACAGGATGTCTATGCGGCAAAAGTTTGCTCTAACATATGGGACATGCACCGATTTGAGTAGAGCTGAAGCTTGCACCTCCGCAAAGAGGGCTCTCACCTCTGTTTCAATGTCAGCCCTCCTGGCGTCATACCACCCTCCCATGACCAATTGCAAGTCATCAACGGGGCGTTCAGAGATGCTGGAGGGTGCCCTAGGTGACGACCCCCCTCCACTACCCAGGCCCGGTGGCCCCCCAAGATGCCTCGGCGACACGGGGGCAGGACTGGTAGGCCTGGACTTCATTTCTTGAACTTCACGTTCCAGGGTCTCAATACGTACCCGCTGTGCATGAATTTGCTCACTGTGGTGTTTGACTTCCTGAAACATGCCATCATACTGTTTTCCCAGCCGTTGGACCTCTTTGGCTGTGTGCCCACATTCCGCAAGAATTTGGGTCTGTGTAGAGCCAACCTCCCGGAGCTGCGTCTTAAGGCCCTGCACCCAATCCGGCTCTGGGTCTGTCAGGGCAAAATGTTGTGTCTTCCTTTCGCTCCCCGGCACGGGCGTCGTCTGAAGCACTGGGTATGGGCTGGTGGCCCCTCCCGCTGCGAGGGCGGGGGGGTGGGCACCCGTGGGTGCAGAGGTGGGGATCGGCCTTGGCGTTTTCCCCGCTGGGGTCAAGGAAACTCCAAAATGCGGCAACTGCTGAATGTGCACAGGAATATCCGTCCTCAGTCGTGCTCTCTTTTCAGGGCTACTCTCACGTCTCTCATCTACTGGGGGTTCCTTGTTGAACATGGGGACTTCGCTCTTGCGGACCCGCCCGGACTCACCGCCCATTGCTGCTGTCTCCGAGAGGGAGGCAGCTGTTTTCGCCAGGGCCTCTGTCTGATGGCTGTTCTGAGGGCCCCCCATGGGAATTCTCCCTTGCGCCGCTAAGAGAGCATGCGCTGCTGCCTCTGCCTTAAGCCGGTCTGTCTCCGCTGAAACTAAGGCATCCACTCTGGCGTCAGAACGTGGGGAGTGAACAGCAGCCGCCTCCTGTCCCACGTTGTCTCCCGACACGCTCTCGCCAGGGCTACGGACCTCCGGGACCCCCTCCTCCCCTTCCTCCTCCGACTTTTCCCCAGGCATAAACAAATCCCCGTCCTTTCCGTCTCGGACCTGGATAACCTCCGGGCTGCTGGAACTGTCGTACCCCTCCAACATGACTTCGATGCACCCAATGCCCAAACGATCGTGTGCACGTGTGTGTATGTGAGCACGCACACACAGTTGTCGCGCAGCACCCGCCAAGGTCACAGATCAAGGAAGCGACTATGTGTTGCATGGGGGGGTTCAGGGAGAAGCGACGCCACTTGAGCCAAAATGGCTTGAGCCAAAAGGGTTTAGGGTTTAGGGTTTGGGGTTTAGGGTTTAGGGTGTAGGGTTTAGGGTTTAGGGTTTAGGGTTTAGGGTTTAGGGATGCTGGCAAACAAGGATTATTGGGGTGTTTGAAGCTTCAGGTGGTTGCAATGCGAGCATGGTGGGGCTTTGTGCCGCGTAGCCTGGCCTGCCTAAACTTTAGGGTTTAGGGTTGAGGGCTTAGGGTTTAGGGATAGGGTTTAGGGTTTAGGGTTGAGGGCTTAGGGTTTAGGGCTTAGGGTTTAGGGTTGCTTCTAGCAGTCCTAGGATTTCTCTCCATGTAAGTCCGCCCAGCCACTCCGGAAAGCAGCGTGGCGGGGTCAATCCAAAGCTCCAAGAAGCTTCCACCAGAAGGTACAACGCTGTTGTTGTAGGCACGCATCCTGGGGAAAACATGGGCACCAACTATTTGGCTCAGGTTTGAGGCCATGGGAGCATACCAGGATGGGCTATGAGGCCTTAACATCCTCATAATGGACCCTTTTAAGGGCCTTTTAAGGGATCATAGGGTGTAATAGCCCATCCTGCTTAAAGGCAAGGCCTTGTCTTAAGGGAAATAGTGGGAAGCGTCGCGCCCCCTAAGTTCGAGAGGCTTTAGGAGGCAGATTCACATTGTGTTTTTTCCTTGGTTCCAAAGCCAATCTGCAACAGTACGGGCAAAGAGACATCGGGTACTTGGATGTGCCGAGGCTTCTAAATCACAGCACCGCCAATATACACAAATTGCGATCTTACTGGTGCTCCCTGTGTATTTGGAGGTGGAAAAACAAGTTTCCAAGCATGCGAAATGTTGACACTTGTCTCGATCCCAGAGGCCCATACCATTTTGCAGTTCCAGACCGGCTGCGATCCATCGCTTGGGCTTTAGGGTTTAGGGTTTAGGGTGCGGAGCTGCAATTGGTATTGTAGAAAGGAGTTAGTGTTGGAAGTTGAAAGGGTTAATGAACCCGTAAACTATGTTTGGCTCAAGGATGGCCAGCCCGTCCAAAGAAAAAAGTCCGTGTTTGGGAGTGAGGGTTGGGTTAGTGCCCCTCTACTTGTGTAAGGGCGCCCCTTCCTTGTTGCTCTTATCCGTGTTCTTGGTTGTTTCTTGGTTCGATCTGGGAAATATATGTTCAGGGCGATTAGGGGAGTTGATTTCCTTCCTTGGTTGTCCCCCCGTAGGTTATGAGCCCAAATTAGGTTCCCTGCGGTTAAGTGTTCTTTCAAGGTTTTTGGGATCAAGAAGCAATGCCTTCTCCGAAGCGATGGCTCCAACTTGCCTCGGATGGTGGACAAGATGGTGGAGCTGGAAATGGTGCAGCTGAGTCTCTGGGTGAAAGATCGGTGTTGGAAGAGGTGATTCCCGGCGCTGAAGAACATCTGGAAGAGGCCTTGGTTGCAGAAAGCCCCAATGTGGGTATGAATCCCAATAGGGATATGGTTAGCAATGCTGAAGCTGAAGGACGTGCTGTTTCTGTATCGCCAAAGCCTGGTGAGAAAAGGAACTGGGACGCGACTGGTGGTATAGATCGTGAAATGGAGGTGACTGTTTTACGAGTGTTGCACAAACACGGGTATCAGCCGTCGTCTTCGACTTCGGGTCGAATGGTAGACCAAGAGTCTCAGACCGATCTGATTGGAGAAGTGCTGCAAGCGGCCAGGAGGCCTCTGAACAAGATCAAAAGGGATCCATCTTCGAGTTCCCAAGGTGGTGGAAGCGGTCATGGACAGAAGGGTGCGGACAGCTTTGAAGCTGCACCTGCTGCTGGATACGCCATGGGGGAGGAGGAGATCCTACAGATGGAGGCTGAGAGGTTGCGACAGTTGTCCGAAGAAGAGGACGAGATGCGACAGGTCTCTGAAAGGGATGGTTTTCGGAAAGACGAGCATCTGATCAAAGCGTGCGATGGGACAACGTGGGAATGGCACCTCCATGAAGATGGGAGACAATATTATTACTGCCTGGATACGCAGGAAAGCAAGTGGACATTGCCGGTGGTAGGTGAAAAGATGAAGAGTGACGAGGTGGTTGGGTCTCCTTCGGGCAATGAGCTGGAAATGGAGGCGGCACTGGATTCTTCATCCTCTACTCCGAAGACTGAGTCTACGAGGGCATTCCAGGGTAGTGTAAATAGTTTAGGTGAAAAAGATTTTTCCTCTACTATCAGGGATAGCGGTCCTAGGGCTGGTGGTGACGCCCCGACCTCGGGTTCTCCTGATGAGGAGGAGATTCCTGGAAACCGAACAGACATCGCTGGAGCTCAACATCTGGATCGGGAAGGAATGGGAGCACTTTCTGAGGGTGTGGCAGCGGTGGAATCGGTAGGTCCAGAAGAAAAGATTCCCAATGTGGAGATCGGAACTGTGTCGGCTGCAGAAGATCGAGTGGTGGATGTGGTACCTGTCGTTCGGGAATGTGGTCCTGGAGATTTGGAAGACGGAGGGAAAAGGTCGTGTGTTGCGACTGAGGAGGTCTCTTCGTTTGGTGCCAAGGTTCCTGCCATTCAAAGGGAAAAAGAAGCTTCTGGAATAGCTGGAGACACAGAAGATCTGAAAAATGAGGCCTGGAGCGCCAATGATGCGCGGGTCGATGCGCCAGATATTACCTGGAGTGCGAAGGAAGCACGGGTTGAGGTGCATATGGCGTTACGTTCCACGGGCGACTGCAACAATGGGGCGCAGGTCTCCGCAGCAGCTGATGATGGAGGTTCACAGGTGGACGCACTGGTGCAACCTGAAGTTAGCAGCGAGGAACGAAATGACAAGGGCTACACCGGAGCCAATGAGGCAGCTGTGGTCAATGATGGTGGAAATTCTCCTTTGGAGGCCATGGAACCAAAGGATCCTGCGGTGGAAGAAAGCATGCCTGCCGTGGATGATCGACTCAATTGCCCTGCAGTGGAGGAAGATTTGCCTGCTGCAGAAGGTGTGACAAAGGACTCCAATGATGGGTCCACTCCCATGAAGGGAGAAGTGTTGCCGTCTGGAAGTTCGCCGGAAGTCGACACCGAGCGAATTACAGCAGATGAGGCAAAGCCTTTGGCGGAGAAAAAGAGAGGTCCTGAAGTCCAGGAGCACAAAAAAGATGAGCTTGTGGGACTCGTGGAGCAGGACGAGCAGTGTGACTCAAAGGTGAAAACAAAGGATGCGCCAGGAGCCGATGATACAGAGGTGGTTTCTGAAGAGCAAGCAAAGAAAGTGCCCCGAGCGGGAGCCTTGGAATCACCTGGGACACATTGCTATCAAGAGGGAGATGAGATCGTGGGTCTAGTGCGCTGCATCAATGGGTATGGAGCTTTTTTGGACCATGGTGATTTGAATGTATTGATTCCTGCAGAAGGGAACAATACGTGCCATTTCAGATTTGGTGATACTGTCAATGGAACAGTGAAACTAGTGGAAGATGATGGTACCATAATCTTGGACACCTTTCTGGTTTTGGAAGAGGACGTGGAGGACCCTTCCTCAACGCTGCGGAAGTGGAAACCCAGCGGCTGGAGTACGTGGTGGACGAATCCATGGTATGTTGGTCAGTGGTACCGAGATTCCAACGGTCAATGGGACTGGAAACAGGAGGAAGAGCAATCCGATGAGGAGCTTGTGATACAAGAGTTATCCTCTGAAGAACGAGAAGAAAGACAACTTTATGGAGAAAAGATCTACAAAGCTCTTCTGGAGAATGGAAACGAAGAGGAAGCCTATGTTGGCAAAATTACAGGGATGCTGTTGGGTCGCCCGATGGAAGATTTACAGGAGTGTGTTGCAGATCAGGCATTCCTCAATGCGGAAGCTCGGCGCGCGTATGGCATCTTGCAAAATGGTGGTTGGAAGCCTGATGGTACAGAAAGCACAGGCTTGGGGGAGTTAACCACTTTTTCCCGAAAACAGTACCATAACGCGCTTTTCGAACTGGCATGCAAAAAAAGGAGATTTTCTCGACCAGTTGTGGGTGAAGCGGTGGCAACGGTGCTGAATCAAGGGGAAGATGAGTTTTGGAACGCGCTTTGGTTGGACACCAAGCTATTTTTGCAGGAGCTTGATGGTGCAGTGCAATCCATGAGCAAAAGGGAGAACAAGCCAATGGAAGCCTACATGGACCCTGACCAGTACAAAAAGGCTTACATGACACCAAAGACTGTGTTGTCACCTGGTTACAGCAAGCTGTGCAAGTTCTTCAATCGGGGAAGGTGTCGCAATGGTGATGAGTGTTCCTATGAGCATCGTCGTTATGGTGAAGGTTGGCCAGGAGGAGGGTCAACTGATCCAAAGAATAGCCAAGAAGCTGATGATGAGGATGGGAACATCGGTGACCCTCCCACAGAGGAAGGTACAGTGGATGAGGCACAGCAGGAGCGGGAGGATTTAGCCTTCCGGGCCAAGTACAATTTTGGCAAAGGTGCATCAAAGGGTGAGCCTACGTCAGGTGAGCCAAAAGGTCGGCTGTGTCTGTATTACAATCAAGGTGGTTGTAAATATGGGACTGCATGCAGGTACCTTCACAACGATGACATAGCATTGGAAGGGACTTGGGAGCCCGGCAAATCTTGGGACAATGCTTCCAGGAAGTCACTAAGGGACGCAGGGTTCCACAATTGCTGTTTCGATTATTACCTCCGAGGACGTTGCCGGAAAGGGTTAAATTTCTGCAAGTACTCCCATGACGAGATGTCAGAGGAGCGGTTGTCGCTCCTGAAACACTTGGTACAGGTGGCCAATCAGGTCCGGTTTGAAAAAGAGAGAGGATGGGAGATTACGGATAGAAGCACATTTCAGCCACCTGCAAGTGGGGGAGCTGAATCTTCCTCATCCTCGGCACCGAAAGCACTGCAAATGACCAATGTGTCACAAAAAGATGGTGAAAAAGGTACTCTGGATGAAGCAGAAGCTGATGAACAAAAGAATTCAGTGGCTGCATCCACTGGTACTCAGCTTCAAAATCCGGAGGAGCCAATTGAAAATTGGATGGCTCGCAACGCACACCTGTGGGTGTATACCCCTCATGTAAGTGAGGTGATGATTACGCTTGGTGTGACCAATGTGTCGGACTTGCAAGAGTTCATCTTTGTGGAAGATTTGGTTGACAAAGGGATCAACAAAGTGACCGCATGCAAAATTCTGCAATTGGTGGGTGAGGTCCGATATCGACCGGGAGGACCGGAAAAGGCAGTTCCTTCTGATGCATCTGTACGGGTACAACAATCTTCTGGGAACAAAGGGACTGGAAGAGCGGCGGTGCGAACCCTCACTCAGGTGCGTGAAGCTGAAGACTCCGGTGCAAAAACTATGCCGAGAGGTTCCTATCGGGAGCTTTTTGATAAGGTCAGGTACCGTGATGGTTGGACGCTTGCGCAGAGGTCTCCGTTGTGTGTACAGAAGCTGCGGTTGGTGGGAGTTGGAATG